CCTTGAAAAAAAATATTTTTTAAAAAATCCACATTTGTTGATCCTTGAAAATAATATTCTTTAAAAAATCCACGTTTGTTGATCCTTGAAAAAAATATTCTTTAAAAAATCCACATTTTTTGATCCTTAAAGAAAATATTCTTTAAAAAATCCACGTTTGTTGATCCTTGAAAAAAATATTCTTTAAAACCACGTTTGTTGATCCTTGAAAAAAATATTCTTGAAAAAATCCACGTTTGTTGATTCTTGAAAAAAATATTCTTTAAGAAATCCACGTTTGTTGATCCTTGAAGAAAATATTCTTTAAAAAATCCACATTTTTTGATCCTTGAAGAAAATATTCTTTAAAAAATCCACGTTTGTTGATCCTTGAAAAAAATATTCTTTAAAACCACGTTTGTTGATCCTTGAAAAAAATATTCTTGAAAAAATCCACGTTTGTTGATTCTTGAAAAAAATATTCTTTAAAAAATCCACGTTTGTTGATCCTTGAAAAAATATTCTTTAAAAAATCCACGTTTGTTGATCCTTGAAAAAATATTCTTTAAAAAATCCACTTTGTTGATCCTTGAAAAAATATTCTTTAAAAAATCCACGTTTGTAGATCCTTGAAAAAAGTATTCTTTAAAAAATCCCCGTTTGTTGATCCTTGAAAAAAATATTCTTTAAAAAAATCCACGTTTGCTGATCCTTGAAAAAAAATATTCTTTAAGAATTTCGCGTTTTTTGATCCTTGAAAAAATATTCTTTAAAAAATCCTCAATTCTGGATCCTTGAAAAAATATTCTTTAAAAAATCTACGTTTGCTGATCCTTGAAAAAAAAAATTTAAGAAAATTTCGAATAATTCGAATATCTTCTCTTCCATTTTTGAATATTTGAATACATTTTTTTTGCTCATTCTAATCTATTCTAAAGTAAATATTTAGATACGCACTCATCCAAGCAGTGAATTTTTATACCCCAAAGAGCAACGTGTGATGATTACCCTGAGAATGTGTGTGTGTCTGTGTGTTGGTTTAACGAATATCATGGCATAAATTTAGAAACATAAATCAAAATATTGAACTTCCGACACAAACGCCGTTCACATTGGCAAAAGGAGGTTTATGCGTTGAGGACGACCGGCTTTTTGTAATGACGATAACTGAAAATTTTGAATGCGAATAATGGACGATGGGAGCGGGATGATATGGGGAGGGAGGGTAAAAGTAAGCGATTTATTCATCAGCGTATATTTCATTTGACTATTTGCTAACGCGTTGTCAGATAAGTGGAAATCCAACCGAACTCCATACCCAAATGTGGGCTACCTCTTCTAACAACACACAATAATGACTTAACATAAACAGAGACGAGCTATTGAATATGTCGGAGAGAAAACTTTACAATGTAAATGGTGGGAAGGACCTTTCAGTAGAAAAGGATAATACCACCATATCATATTGTTCCACAGGAGAATGGTGGCATAATTAAAGTTACATATATTCATACAATTCAGGCAGGTGTATTGCCTGCCTGCCAGGCAGCCGGGCAGCAGGATAATAATGGATATTTTCAAACTAAACACAAACACACACACAGAGGCTCACACACATACACTGTGGGATACGAACAAGGCCTCCTTTACGCATTATCTATCCATCCATCCATTGTTAAAGTTTGGTTTATTATAATTTTTGAATTCGTTCATAAATAACTTTTTCCAGTTTTTTCTTTTTTGTTCTCTCCATTTTCAAAATTGCGTTCATAAATTTAAACAAATGTGTGTCTATATTTAGTAGTTGTTGTTCTCTGCAACAGCATAAACAATAAAATAAATATGCAAATTTTTATAATGCCACCACCATGATATATTCCCAAGCATTTGTACGGCTTTGTATAATTAAAATCCAATGAAACTCTAATTACCAGTTCGAGGGAAACGTTTTCTCTCGTCATGAGAATGATTTATGCTAATATGTGAGGTTATGTGCAAAAAAATATTTGAAGTGAAAATAAATCAGCAAAAAACGGACTGGAATACGACGAGAATAATTAAGGTAGTCTCTATCATTCAGATTGATAATTTTTTCAAAAATATTGAAACATATAATTCTTGAGAAAACCACAACAATTGGTGTTTCCATGAAATGGTTTTAAAAAATCCACTATTCTTTGGCATTGATTTTTTTTAAATCCATGCTTTATTGCCTTTGAAAAAATATTTTATTAAAAATCCACGCCTATTGGCCCTTGAAAAAAAAAATATTTTATAAAAAATCTTCACCTATTGGCCCCTGAAAAAAACGTTTTATAAAAAATCCACGCCCATTGACCCTTAAAAAAAATTATAAAAAAAAATATTCTTTAGGAAATCCACGCCTATTGGTCCTTGAAAAAAAATATTCTTTAGGAAATCCACGCCTATTGGTCTTTGAAAAAAATATTCTATAAAAAAAACCCACGCCTTTTTGCCCTTGAAAAAAATTATTTTTAAAAACCCCTCGCATATTGGTTCTTGAAAAAATATTCATAAAAAAAACACACGCCTTTTTGCCCTTGAAAAAAAATATTTTTAAAAACCCCTCGCCTATTGGTCCTTGAAAAAATATTCTTTAAAAAAAAACCCACGCCTTTTTGCCCTTGAAAAAAATATTCTTTAAAAAAAACCCACGCCTTTTTGCCCTTGAAAAAAATTATTTTTAAAAACCCCTCGCCTATTGGTCCTTGAAAAAAATATTCTTTAAAAAACCCACGCCTTTTTGCCCTTGAAAAAAATTATTTTTAAAAACCCCTCGCCTATTGGTTCTTAAAAAAAAAATAATTTTTAAAAACCCCTCGCCTATTGGTTCTTAAAAAAAATAATTTTTAAAAACCCCTCGCCTATTGGTTCTTAAAAAACATATTCTTTAAAAAAAACCCACGCCTTTTTCCCTTGAAAAAAATGATTTTCAAAAACCCCTTGCCTATTGGTTCTTGAAAAAATATTCTTTAAAACATCCACGCTTATTGGTCCTTGAAAAAATATTCTTTAAAAAAACCCACGCCTTTTTCCCTTGAAAAAAATGATTTTCAAAAACCCCTCGCCTATTGGTTCTTGAAAAAATATTCTTTAAAACATCCACGCCTATTGGTAATTGAAAAAATATTCTTTAAAACATCCACGCCTATTGGTCCTTGAAAAAAAATTCTTTAAAAAATCCACGCCTATTGTCTTTGAAAAAAAAATTCTTTAAAAAATCCACGCCTATTGTCTTTGAAAAAAAAATCTTTAAAAAATCCACGCCTTTTGGTCCTTGAGAAAAAATATCCTTTAAAAAATCCACGTCTATTGGTCCTTAAGAAAAAATATTCTCTAAAAAATCCAAGTCTATTGGTCCATGAAAAAAATATTCTTAACAAAATCCACGCCTATTGGCGCTTCAAAAAATATTTTATAAAAAATCCACGTCTATTGGCGCTTCAAAAAATATTTTATAAAAAATCCACGTCTATTGGCGCTTCAAAAAATATTTTATAAAAAATCCACGCCTATTGGCGCTTCAAAAAATATTTTATAAAAAATCCACGTCTATTGGCGCTTCAAAAAATATTTTATAAAAAATCCACGTCTATTGGCGCTTCAAAAAATATTCTTAACAAAATCCACGCCTATTGGCGCTTCAAAAAATATTTTATAAAAAATCCTCACCTATTGGCCTTTGCAAAAAAATATATTATAAAAAATCCTCATCTACTGGCCCTTGCAAAAAAATATTTTATAAAAAATCCTCACCTATTGGCCCTTGCAAAAAAATATTCTTAAAAAAATCCACGCCAATTGGTCCTTGAGAAAAAATATTCTTAAAAAAATCCACGCCAATTGGTCCTTGAGAAAAAATATTCTTAAAAAAATCCACGCCAATTGGTCCTTGAAAAAAATATTCTTAAAAAAATTCACGCCAATTGGTCCTTGAAAAAAATATTCTTTAAAAAATCTACGTCTATTGGCCCATGAAAAAAATATTCATAAAAAAATCCACGCCTATTGGTCCTTGAGAAAAAATATTCTTTAAAAAATCCACGTCTATTGGTCCATGAAAAAAATATTGATAAAAAATCCACGCCTATCGGTCCTTGAAAAAAAAATATTCTTTAAAAAATTCACGTCTATTGGTCCATGAGAAAAAGTATTCTTTAAAAAATCCACGTCTATTGGTCCATGGAAAAAATATTTGTAAACAAATCCACGCCTATCGGTCCTTGAAAAAAAAATATTCTTTAAAAAATTCACGTCTATTGGTCCATGGAAAAAGTATTCTTTAAAAAATCCACGTCTATTGGTTCATGGAAAAAATATTTGTAAACAAATCCACGCCTATTGGTCCCTGAAAAAAAATATTCTTTAAAAAATCCACGTCTATTGGTCCATGAAAAAATATTCTTTAAAAAATCCACGTCTATTGGTCCATGAAAAAATATTCTTTAAAAAATCCACGTCTATTGGTCCATGAAAAAATATTCTTTAAAAAATCCAGGTCTATTGGTCCATGAAAAAAAAATATTTGTAAACAAATCCACGCCTATTGGTCCTTGAAAAAAAAATATTTGTAAACAAATCCACACCTATTGGCCCTTGAAAAAAAAATATTTTATAAAAAATCCACACCTATTGGCCCTTGAAAAAAAATCTTTATAAAATCTACGCTTATTGGTCCTTGAGAAAAAATATTCTTGAAAAAATCTGCGCCTATTTGTCCTTGAGAAAAAATATTTTTAAAAAATCCACGCCTACCTGTCCTTGAGAAAAAATATTTTTTAAAAAATCCGCGCCTATTGGTCCTTGACAATAATATTCTTTTAAAAATTCACGGCTATTGGTATTTATGGTATATTTTTCTTGACCTAAAATCCTTGATTTTTAAGACATGAATTTAAAGATTTATCATTATACATTTTACATTGATTTTTTCATTCTTCTCACCACCCAACAATCAAATTTGTTTTAAAAACCCACCTTTCTTCTTCATTTCCTTTTAGGCTAAAGTGGACATCAGTTCCTTTGTGTGCACCCGGTGTTGCTAAATTGAGTTGGTCAACGGTAGCGCCACTGACCGAAGTTGTTGGTGGTGGCGGTGGATTTGTAAACATGTACGAAAATTCCTGCTCATATCAGACGGCTCTGGACCTGAAGCGAGTGTCACCGCCGACACTGGCCCAGGTCAAGACCGAGGATTGTATAACCTTGGGTCAATGTTCACCCGACTGGACATCATATCGTTTTCATCAATCCACATTCGAGCAGCTGAAACAGAGTGTGGAGAAGGCCAAAGCGGCACTGCAGGATCGTAGTACATTTTTTGGGGCGTCCAGTGCGTTTAGGTGGGTATCAAAAGCCTCTACAAACTTACTAAAATTCCAATATTGAATCAATTATTTTTTTCTTTCCCACAGCGACATCTATTCAAGTCAACGCCTCAGCGATACCCTGGACACCCTACCCTCCGTACAGAATAGCAATACGGCTGCGAATTGTATAGGCCTGCCGGTCCATAACTCCGGATCTGCCGGCATTAGCCATAGTACACCGAGCTTAGTTCTAAATGGAAATTGTATTTCCACCGTTTCGGCGGCAACAACGGGTCAACGTTATCGTCTGGATACCCTACAACCGGCCGGTTGTTCACCGCATCATCCGCAACATGGTGTGATAACATCGAGTTCCACGCCATCGTCGTTGACCACAACATCGTTGCTGGATACCTCGCATGTCGAAAGCAAAGGAAGGGGTGAGTGTGAAAGGGATTTGAATCTAGAAGGGCAGTTTTAGTGAAAGGAGAAAGGGAAATTTCAGTATAATGTGTAGGGGACCTCGATAGGATCCCTGTCAAAAGAAGACCTATAAAAGAACATCTGTTTCGGATTAAAACATTGTTAAATTTATTAAAAATTGTCGGTCTATTGATATTGGAAAAATAGTTTTATTATAAAGATTTTTTTGCTCGTTAGGTCTTTCAACAAATAGTTCTAAAAATACAGGTGGTAAATGTATATCTTGGACCCTTAAATATACCTCAAATTTGAACTGTATGTCAATGTACTTGAAAAAAAAATCTTAAAAAATTTACATTAACCTCTCTCTGGGTCCTTGAAAAAAATATTCTTAAAAACCTGGTTTTTTGGTATATTGGTCCTTGAAAAATACATGTAAAATCTAAGAAATTTGGTCCTTGAAATATATTTTTAAAAAGTTAGAAAAAATCCACGTTTATTGGTCCTTAAAAAAATATTTTTAAAAAATCCATGTTTATTGGTCCTTGAAAAAAAATATTTTTAACAAATCTACGTTTATTGCTCTTTCAAAAAAATATTTTATAAAAATCCATGTTTTTTGGTCCTTAAAAAAATATTTTAAACATATCCACGTTCATTGGTCATTGAATAAGTATTTTTAAAATATCCAAATTCTTTGGTCCTTGAAAAAAATATTTAAAAAAAATCCACAATCATTGGTCCCTAAAAATTATATTTTTAAAACATCCACATGCCTTGGTCCTTGAAAAATATATTTATAAAAAACACGTTCCTTGGTCCTAAAAAATATTTTTAAAAAATCCAGGACTCTTGATGCTTAAAAAATATTTTTAAAAAATCCACGTTCGTAGGTCCCTGAAAAAACATTTTTAAAAAAAATCCAGGTTACTTGGTCCTTGGAAAAAGTATTTTTAAAAAAATCCAAGTTCCGCGATCCTTGGAGGAAGAATTGTTAAAAAATTCACGTTCCTTAGAAAAAAATATTTTTAAAACAATCCAAGTTCCGCGGTCCTTGGAGAAAGAATTTTTAAAAAACTCACGTTCCTTAGAAAAAATATTTTTAAAAAAATCCACGTTCCTCGGTCCTTGGAGAAAGAATTTTTAAAAAATTCACGTTCCTTAGAAAAAAATATTTTTAAAAAATCCACGCATATTGGTCCTTAAAAAAATATTCTTTAAAAAATCCACATTGCCTCGTCCTTGGAAAAAAATAATTTTAAAATTTGAATTATAATAATTCTTCCTTTTACACATTCCTCCAAAAATGAAATATAAAAGGAGATTTTGACTTAGATTGGAAACTTGTTAAATAGAGAGCAAAAAAAGGAAAACACATAATTTTTGGTATATAAATTTCGAACTGAATTTTCTTAAAAACTATTCTATGTAGATATAGGGGGTGGTCTGTGATTTGTAGTGAAATTTTATACATAATATTTCTTCTTTTGACATATTTTACCTAAAATAAAATTATTAGTAACTTTTAGGCGTCTACTCGAGGAAAGGCCAAGAAAAAATTGATCAAAAAAATTGGGAAATAATTTCAGGTTTTTGGGGAACATTGATGCAAACATTTTTTTGCTATACAATGAAAATGGAGATTTTTGTTCTTTAATGACTCATAGTGACATTTGATGAGGAATATTTTTGTCATTGGCGTCATTTTTCTAAAACGATGTATTATAGGAGATTTTTTCATAAAATTACATAAAGTACGGTTTTAATCCTACAATTTGATTTAAATTTATATGAATTCTTGATAAGATTTAGGCTTTTCATATCTTCTAGGACCTTCAGTAGAATTTCATGACAAATAAGTTTGTGGAATATTTTGACTTGCTACCGGTCCGCTTGAAAGGATATTTTCAAAAAAAGAACCAAAAAGACCCCTTTTTGACTCCCTTGAGGGTTAAGAATAGCTACCAAAATAATCTTCGATATTTTATCCGTAGTATTGCCGAGGACACTATATGCCTAAAATGTAAGGATTCGAAGGAATCTTAACCCGAAAACTGTCCAAAATGTGAACATCCAAAACGACGATACACATGTCTTCAATTGTTAGCTCTACTTTCATAATCTGTTGGATTATGTAATTTGTCCCTGTATTTTTTGAACAAATTGAATTTATTTGCCCAGCGCAATTCACGCTTTTTGGCCATTGGAACTATTTTAGAAAAAAGTCCACTTTTTGATCCTGACAAAATATTTCGAAAAAAAAATCACTTTTTTCTCCTTGACGAAATATTCAAAAATAATTTAGGTCCTCAAAAATATTTCTAAAAAAATTCAGCTTTTTGCACTCAATTTTTTTAATACCGGTTATCGTTTTTTAAATACCGGTTATTTATGATAATCTTAAAAACTCCAGTTTGAAGGTCACTTTGTCCTGGAAATAATATTTTTAAAAATCCATTTTTTCCGTGAAAAAACACCTTCATCCTTTTATCCTTAAAAATTATTTTTAATAAAATCCAAATTTCAGCCATTTTGGGTCTTTGAAGAAAGTATCTTTCTTTCCATTTAAAAAACTCTGAGTGTATATAATTAACCAACCTTTGATCGACCTCCACCCACCCCAAAAAAAAATCTGTACCTTTTCTGGCCTTTAACAAAAAAAAAAAAAAAATTGGACATATGTTCTGGTGACGTAAACACGATTTTGGCATATGTGGACTGCAACGTGAAAACAAACAGCGGTCAAAATGATAAAAAAAAACCTTAAGTTCCTTTTTAATAAATTTAATCCCGCTTATCGCACCTCCGCCATCTGCGGGCCATGCCAAAAGAGCGGCACAAATTTGGCTTAATTCGCTAAAAAAGCAAACAAAAGCCAAACGAAATCTGGCTATCATCGTGAAAAACGTTTATACAGCAACGAAACAAATTGCTTGCCAAAAAAAGGAAAAACGAAAAATGTTCCCAACCAAAATAAAATATGGCATTTAAAAAAAGTTAAGGCGGCAAACCGCGAACTTTCTGGGGTCAGTTCCAACGTCAACATGAATTTATCAATTTAGACATCCGCCATAATAATATAAACAAAATACCAGAAAGGGAGGAGGTTGCGATACAGACAAGCACACCAAAGCGGACAGTGGCCTTATTTCGTTTTTTGTAGATCCTAACTGGTCTAGAGCACACACACATACATACTCACATCCACACTCGCCATGTGGCTGGCTCAGATTTTCACTGTCTCTACAAATGAGCCTTGTAATGCCATGGCAAGAAAAAACAATTTAGGCAAACATTTTCATTGTTTATTTTTTTTTTTTTGGCAAAGGGGGGGTCTTATGGCTTTGTTTCGACCTGGTCGAGGAAAAACAAAAACGGAATTTTGGTCATCATTGGTTGTCCTTTTTCACCATGTCGCTGTTGTTGCTGTTTTTATTTTATCTGTTTGAAATCTCTTACTTGCTGGCTTCATTGAGACATCATTGTCCGCAGAGTCGCTTTCAAGTTGTGGTGTGGGAGGATGTCTGGCTTAGAGGTCCTTTGACATGCCTGGCAGCACTTCAGCTCCATGTTATGTTATTACGTAGTTTGCATGACCAGAGCAAATTTATTAAAGATTTGTTTCACTTTTTTGTGCCAGAGTTCTATTTTCGAAAAAAAAAAGAAAAACAACAAAACGAGCTGCCTGACAACTCTTTTGTGTTCCATGCATTTGAATGGAATATTTTACGGATTTATATAGCTGGCGGAGGATTTATGGACATTGTGACCATTGCATGCCATAAATCTGCAAAAAGTTTTTTGTCAAGTTCACTAAATATTCACTGTACATGTGCAGGCCACGTTCAGAATGAATTGCCGTGGAGGGACAAGATATACCAGCAGAATGTTGATGGAATTTATTTTATTCAAATTGAATATTTTTAGAAGTGGATTTATAAGGGGATTTTACGAAGGGTATTTTCAAGGATCAACAGGACGTGGATTTTTTGAAGAAGAGTATTTTAAGTATTTTTCGAAAAATATTTTTTCAAGGACCAACAAAAAAATTAAAACAAATATGAATATGATATTTTTAAATATTTAATATTATTAAAGGAATTATTGGACGTGGGTGTCCGAAGATCATTTCTTCAGGCACCAAAAGGACGGAATTTTTTTACTAAAATATTTTTTTCAGGGACCAATATGTCATGGATTTTATTTAAATGCAGGACGTAAATTTTATGAACAATATTTTAAGGGACCATAGGAACTTGTTTATTTCACGAACGTGGACGTTTAGGCCAGGCCGATCATGATCTTTTTTAGAATGTTCGTTTAAGGACCAAGAAAAGTGGAAATTTTTAGAATACTTGTTAAGGTCTATTTGAACTCAACTGTTGATTCCAAAAAGGTATTTGTTAAGGACTAAGCGTGGAGTTTTAGGATTTTTTTTCAAGTATCAATGAAAAATGGATTTTTACAAAAATGTTTTTAAGGACTAAAACACATTGATACATAATATTTCTTCAAAAAAAAAGAAGATAGTATGTATATTTTTAAGGAAATTTTTCAAGGCCGAGAAGTTGGATTTTTCAAATATTTTTTTAAGGTCCCAACATGGAATTTTTTCAAACGTCCAAACAAGGCTTTTTGGAATTTTTTTTGTTAATGATCACACGTGGATTATAAGAAAAATGCTTGAGGATCAATTATAGATTTTAAAAAAATTCGAATTTTTAACGATATTTTTCGAGATCGAAATTATGGATTTTTTAAGGTCGGATATATTAGATAAAAAGATTGAGGAATATTTTGGTTTAAACTTTAAGTCTCAAAACTCCCCTTAAACCAAATTGTTGCAAGTCAAAATATTTGCAAAATTATTTGCCAAAAAATTCCACTATACAGGGTGAGACGAAAAAACTGCAATCAACTTGCTGTCATTTCTAAGCCACTCGTCCGACAGCTGTTAAAATTATTCCAGTGACAGCTCATTATATTGTTTACAAGCCTACAAAAGCATTTTGGTGAGAATTTTCCAGAAAAAAAGTTATTCGTGGTGGAATTCGAGCG